GGCTCAAGTGCTACAGTGCCTACTTAGCAAGTGTGAGGCCCTGAATTCAAGCCCCCATAACACAAAAAAATAAAAATGAAGTTATGGGTGACAGTAGAACAGCTCCAGGTGGCCCACCGCCAATGACATTGCAAGACAATGAGTCCACTGATGTATGCAGAACTGAACAGGTGGATGGCAGAGAGACAGGGGGTGGATAGGCCATTTGCTTGAGTTGAGGGTGTTTTTAAAGGATGTGACCCATGTTATGGGTGGTGGCAAGAGGAATGAAAGTTAAGGAACCAACTCTGGGCTGAAATCAGAACGCCTGAGGTCTGATGTTTACTCACCAGTAAATCGTTATATCCTGCTTTAGACTTGGTTGCTCATCTTTGAAATGGACGGCACCTGCAGCTCTCCCCGAAACAACAAGAGAGATCCTAGCAAACAGGGATCACATCCGCTCAGCAGTTAAGAGGCTCAGGGAAGAAGAAGGAAGATGAAGGGAGGAACGAAGGGTTAAGGAGAGAGGAAGTCCTCAGAGATTTTGACCTCTAATCCTCATGTCTCTTTCAATAACTGCATTCAGTTTCTATGACTTCTGTAACAAATTACCACAAGTGTTGTGGCTTAAAATAACACATGTACAATTATCTTACAGTTCTACAGGTCACAGGTCTAAAACGAGTGGGCAGAGGTGCATTTGTTCCTCCTGGCCACTCTAAGGGGAGAATTCATTTCTTCTCCTGTTCCAGCCTCCAGGGGCTATCCACAGACACACCACCCTAGCCTCAGCTTTTGTCCTCACATCTCATTCTCTGGTTCAGTGTTCATAGGAACACTTTTGATTGCCTTGACCCAACAGGATAGTCCAGGATAATCTCATCTCAAGATCCTTGAATTTAATCACATCTGCAAAATCCCTTCTGCCAGGTAAACTGGCAGGTTCATGGGTTTGGGGGACAGAATGAGTCCTATCTAGAGAGCTGTAGAATGCATATCATGACTTGAATTTACGGAGAAGTAAGTTAAACAAAGAAAACACTGGGAGTGGTTGAGCGCTCACTGCAAGAGCTGAGAGAAAAACAGAGGCCCGAGGACAAAAGCCTGAGGAGGACATAGTCCCTGGCAGTCATTCTGTTCCATAGATATTTAAAGAGGGCCCACTGTAGACCAAGGAGGGCCTAAGAGCTCTGGAAAACAGAAATTAATCAAAGCAAGTGTATTTTGGAGGAACTCATCACCAAAATGTGTACCCATACAAGATGGTGACAAACAATGAGTCACACATGAGAAATTCAAAACAGGCAATCCATGAGGAAAAGACTGGAGTGTTCTCAGAAAGCTTCAAGAGGTGGTGGCATTGGAGTTCAGTAAGAGGAACACCAAAGGAGCTTGTAGAAGTAAAGAAGATGAACCAAGATGGCCACTGGTATGGTGGCTGGAAGGATCCTGGTGGCTCATGGGGGTGAGGAGAGGGAGTTCCTGCCTATTGCAGTATAAAGCCATTGCTCACAGTTGGGGGATTGAGCAGTCCCTGCAGGGTGCTGGATCATAGCAGAACTGGCCTCCAAATGTTCAAATCTTACCACCAGGGGGGGCACAGGAGCCAATGTGGCCCCGGAGCTGAGCCACTGGTTTTTAGGAAACAGGATACCCTGGGGAAGGAAAGAAAAGTTTTCCCATTTCTGCTCTAGAAAGCCTGGAAGGCCTGGCTGCCTCCATGTGATCTCTGACTCAGGGGCTTACCCAGATTTTCCTCTTCCAGTTAAATCAAACCATATTTTTTTCCATTTCTCCCTTTCCTGGTTGCCTACAGTCCTAACTGCCTGTAACAAACACACTTTGGCCCAGAGCCTCATTGCACCATAAAATGCCAGAGTGGAGGGGACTTTAACATCTCATCCAAAATATTCATTTTACAGGGTGAGGCAACAGAGGCCCAGAGACAGGAGTTGTCCAAAATAAACCATTGGGTTGGAACCAAGACTAGAACACAGATTTCCTCACTCCTCACTCCAATGTTTTAATCACATGAGGACCCCCTGCCAGACATGGTGGAACAAGTCTTACCTCAGTAACCTGAGGCAGGAGGGTTGAAAGTTTGAGGCCAGCCTAGGCTACAAAGTAAGACCTTGTCTCAAAAAAAAAAAATTAAAAAGAGCTCCTGATTGTATGTAATGTGACCCTAAACTATAGCCTACACTTCACTGTTCCTTGAGTATAAATAATAATAGAAATGGTAACCACAAGCAACAATTCTTATACCAAGGCCTCCATGTATGGATTGCCTCCTTCAGTACTCAACAGTTACCTGAAGAAGTAGTTTCTATTGTAAACTGAAATGTTTACTCGACCCCTCCCATCAGCGCTTAAGGCAGCAGAAGGAAGAGAACAAAAAGAAAAGAAAATCTTTTTTGCTTTAGACCTGTTCTCCCAAGACAGGTGGACTCTGGCCAGAGTTGCACAATGGGATACTGTTTTTCTACCCCACCCCAGCTCCCCACTGTGCTTCACACACTGATGGAACCATCCCCCATGGGCCCTGAGTGAGGCTGAGGAAGTAAAATAAAGCCTTAGACATTCCTCTTGGCCTTGGACTCAAATTAGATTCTGCCTCTCCTTCCTTATCCTCCTTCATCCCCTACTCATGCATTACTGGTTGTTTCTCCAGAAACAATGAAACTGGGTGGTTTCATTGTTTCTGTGCCTTTCTACATACAGTTCCCTTTGACTGGAATTCCCTCCTGCACTATCTACTGATGTGCCAGCTTCCAAAGTCAGGTACCATGGTTGGGGGTCCCTGATCTGGGAGACCTCAGGCTGACTTAAGGATGTGCCCTGAATTTCCACTTACACCTAGGCCACATCTCCCCTTCAGCAAAGATTCCACAGGCTTGTCAGTTAGTGGGTCTCTTTGCCCTCCACTTTGATTCTTCCATGCTATTTATCCATAGTTACAAGTGGTCTCATTTCAGTACCCTCAGCATCCTGCACTGTAAATAACATGTGACAAGGTCTCAGGAAACACTAGAAGAACAAACAAGTGAATTAATGAATCCATCTGGCTTCTGCTACTTTACCTCTGACCTCTCCTACTCTCACCTGGTCTCCTCACCAGATTTTTCCATCCATAGCCCCACCTTCCTTCTCTGTCTCTCACCTGAACTACTCAGTTGTCTCCTAACTGACCTCTACCCCTCTCTCTGCTCACCTTTCACCTACTACTGCTCCCCTCATATAACCAAATTGCATCTCCCTAAATACATCTCAATTTTCCCTCCAACTCCCTAAAGCTGACCAAACAATGAGGAGCTTACTTCCTGCCCCTCCTGCCCTACTCACCCAAGTAAGACCTAAAATCCAGGTGGGGATCCACCTGATACATTCAGCTGAACCATTTGCCAGCCTGAACCCTTCCAGAGTCTCTCACTCTCAGATTGCAAAGCCCAGAACCACTGGGCTCTTCCTCACCTCCCCCACACACGCCCTCTGCTGAACTGGGAGCCCACAACTCTAGCCTTTGCCCAGGATTCTCCCCTAATGGTAACTTTCACTTTGGGATAATTGGTTCTTCCCAACCGAAGTCAGGGGCCCTCCTCTGAGCTCCCTTACCACAGCCACCAGCAGCCTTCCTCCCTTTTGGCTGGCTGCTTCTCTCCCTCCTCCACCAGGTTCTGAGCTCCTGCAGGGCAGAAACAGGATCTAATCCATTATTTTCAACTCCTGCGTCTAATAAAATACCCTTCTAAAGTAGATTGTGGAAAAATACTTTTGAATGAATCAATCAGTCAATGAAACAAGTCTAATGGTTATAACAGCAAAATAAGAGCAACAGTGCTGACAACAGTGGCTGCGTTTCTGCTGAGCGAATTTTTGACTGACGTTCTTTTTGCTCTCGATATTTTCTGTAATGAGCATGTTTTGCTATTGTAATAATAAAGAACACTAAAGGAAACTTCATTTTGAAAAAAAGAAAACCTCCTCACCCAGTAATAAGAATGAGGAAAGAAGTCTTTAAAGAGCCCCTTCTACAGGTGAAGGGGCAGGGCAGCCAGCCAGGGGCACACACCACCTGCAGCGCTACACCAGGTGAAGCCCAGTAGTGGTGGGGCGCCAGGTGGGGCAGAAAGTCGACAAGGCAGGGCAGAAAGTTCTGCACCGGACCTTGAGTGCAAGATGAGGAATTTCAACTTGGGTCACTGAATGTCGGGAGCTACGGAAATTTTTTGAGCAAAGGAGAAGCGCTGGGCACTTGGTAACCATTCCAGCGGCAGCAAGGAGCAGTCAAGGAGCAAGACGCAAAAAGGCGCGGGTCGTAGAGTAGAAAGAAGAAGACGGGATGCGAATTCCCTCCTCCTTTCTTAGGCATTTAAACCACAAGTCCAAACAAGACCTTCTGGACAGCTGTCCAGCCCTCGGCCATGTTACAGATGGGTATTTGATCATTACTTTCATAAGCCTCGGCGGTCTTCCCACCTAACGGCTAATCCTCGTACTCCATATGATACACCAAATAAGAATATGTTCAATGAGTAAAGGTTTGTATGGAGACGCCTGAAAGAAATCAAGTCAGGCAGCTTCCCTTCAAATCGGGGTTAAAGCAAGAGCCAGCATTGTGGCCGTGGGGCTTGGGTAAGGTTCTTTCAACCTAAACGACCCGGGAAGTAATGTAAAGAGCTTGGGCGGGGTGCGCAAAATCAATCTGGGCGAACCCGAAGGGCGAGGCCTCCGTATAACTCTTGGGTAAAAGTGGCAAGGGGATGGCGGCCTGGAAAGACCCCAGCACGACTGGAAGGATAGAGGGAAGAAGGAGGAAGAAGGCGGGAAGGAGATCGGGGTAACTCCGATGGATGGGGACAGGGTGAAAGGCGGATCTGCGCCGCAGCCGGGGCAAGAGCCGGGGAACCTGGGCCAGGGCTGGCGCGGGGCGTGGGCGGAGCAGGTGGGGCCGGGGGGCGGGGTCGGAATTCTATAGCACATGCGCACCGCAGCGGGCCGCGCGCCGTAAGGAGTGGCACTTTTTTAAAGTGCAGCCGGAGGCCAGTCTGTATCGGCCAGCACCTCTGTCTGGTGCGATCCCCTCTGTCCCAGCCGCAAGCGCCCCCAGTGCCACACCAATCCGGCCCAGGCCAAGACAGCCTGCACCATGCCTGTCAAAGGAGGTACCAAGTGCATCAAATACCTGCTCTTCGGATTTAACTTCATCTTTTGGGTAAGTGAGTGTGACTGCCGCGCGCGCCTCTACGGAGCCACCTGTTCCCGGCCCCAGACACTGTCCGCGGTCTGGGGTGCCCCGGCGGCTGGGAGTGCCGGTAGCTGGCACCGCCCGCGCCGGCAGACTGAGCGAGAAGAGAAAGGGCGCTGAGACTGCCAGCTGGCTCGCCCGACGCGGGCGGGACGCGCACGTTCGTGGGGGACTCATTCGAAGCTGGGGGACCTGGTGGGCCCTGTGCAGACGGGTTTCGGTCCCCTCGTTTGCCTAGAATTTGAGGTAGGGTTTGTGTCTGCTTCCATCCCGAGCCTCCTCCGATTGCAAAAAGGGAAGGTGGCAAGAAGAATCGCACCCCTCATCGGGGAACTCGAAGCCCTGGCCTGGGAGGAGTGTGGAGGGCAGGGCAGTTCGAGACCTGATTGGGGTCCCAGTTCGAGACCTGGTTGGGGTCCCACAAGTGGCAGGGGTGGATGCAGGCGTTCTAAAGGACCCGGTGTCGCAGGCAGGGCTCATAGAAAAGTTCTCACTTTCACACTGGAGAGGAAGGGGACAGGGTCCTCCTTCCATCTGGAGGAGGAACCTCGCAGGCCTGGGTTTTCCCAGACTTTGATTTTGAGCCGGCCGTGAGAACATCCTAGCTCCCTCTAAGCTACCTGAAAGACTAGCTTGTCTTGATTCTTTTTTCAAGAGCAATAACTATCTTCACTGGAGAGAACTCTGGGAGAGTTGGAGAAAGGGTGAGGGAGGGGTTGATGCCTATCGGCCCCTCTAGTGAGATGAGTCCTGCCTTTCTGCATTTCCGGGAGAGATCAGGTGCCTCCTGCTGCCGGACCTGGAGGGCTTGGGCCTCGACTCTGACCGCTCCCGGACAGCCCACCCAACGGCTGGGCGGGGCCACGGAGAATATCCCTTCACCTGGAGAGGACCCAGGGACGCCCACTGCCCATCCACTCAGCCTTTCTGCAAATGAGAAGCCTGAGAAAGGCAACAGGCAAAGGAGCTGGTCCACTCTCAAGGAACCTCCTTAGGGGATTGAGGGGCCACCCAGGGGCAGAAGCAAGGAGTCCAAAGGACCTTTGTGTCCTGGTTCTGAGGGCCACATCTGCATGCAGATGAACAGTATTTGCCCCGCTGCAAGCAGGAAAGGATTTTGCCAGGCAACCCCTGTGCCACCCTCAAGAAAGATGGCAGTAGAACCACGTGTGTGCCACCAGAGGCCTGTATGAAAAAATCCAGTTATTCTTGGGGCTAGTTACCGGGGTGCCTGTCATCATCTGGGCAAATGTAGGGGTTAATGGTGTTGTTCAGCCTGAAGGAGTGGTAGGGAAGCGTTTTGCAGTCTATGGGGACTGAGCTACACCCAGTACACACTGTAGTGAGGAAAACACAGGAGTGGTGCACTCCCTCCTACTGTTCCCACCAGCTGCCAGGCTGGGCTTCCTCTACTTACCAGCACTGGGCACCACACCACAGAAGAATGTTTAAAGGCTTGTCAACCTAGGCTGGCCCCACCCCACCCCACCCTTGTCCTTTAGGGAGTTTTCCTCTCCCTCCGATAGCAGTCTCTTCCTTGGCAGTCTATTGGTGGGGCCCAGCTGTCTGCCTAGACAGCATCAAGGCTGGCGGGGGGGACCATAGACTGCCACAGTGTGCCTGAATATCTCCATCTGCCCCCACGGCTTATGCAGGAGGCTACCCCAAGTCGTCTCAGTCTGTTGCCTGCTGGCCTACAATCTGTCCCTACTCTCTCCAGCCTGCCACCCCAGTCCATTTCAGAGCTCTCTGCCTGGGCTAGGTGCTGCCAGTTAGCTATGCCACCTGAAACCCAAGCTTTTCCCTCCGGAAGTGTTTGGTTTTAGAGTTGGGGATAACTGTACATGGTGTACTCCAGCCCTCTTGTTCACAGTGAGGAAGGAGAAAATCAGAGAGGGAGATTTGTCCAGGATCACAGGCTGAACCAGTTCTACAAGCCCTGTGTCCCTTGCCTTTCTTCTCTGTCTGTCTCATAGGTAAGGAGCTGAGCAGTTTCTTGAATTATTGTTCACCTGTCCTGGGACTCTGTAGAAACAAAGTCATCCTCTAGGACACAATGAAATAAAGGGATGTTATAATCTACTCATACAGTGTTTTACAGTCTGTAAAGTTCCTTTTATCCCCAAGTCCCATGACACAGCCAACTCAGGAAGCATTATCCCCATCTTACTGACTAATCACCAGAAATCTGGTCCCCAGAGAGGGTAAATGACTTATCCATGGTCAGGTAGAAGATGCCTTACCAGCAGCAGGGTTTTACTGCTTAATGGGAATGAAGACGAGTGGGATGAAGCTCCCCGAAATCTCATAAGACAAACTACGGTCTAGGGGAACTGGTGAGAGTATAATATGACCACTTTTTTCTGTCTTGATATCAGTGATTTATAAACTTGGCATTTGAAACCCAATATGGGCCTTAAAAAAAGCAGGAATTGGAAGACTAGGGTCCATCAGCTCCTCATGTGCAGAAGATGCTAAGAAGGGGCAGGTAGCAGGGATCCAGAGAGAAGCCAGCCTCCATGGTAGTGGGGACAGTGGGGGGGGAGGGGCCGTGTCACTTCCCCTGCCCCACCCTTATCCCTGTGGGTTACTCAACTACTGAGCCTGAGCAGCCTGCCTGCCATCCCCAAGTTGGGTGTCTGATGCCGACAGCCAAACCACAATCAGTCTGTTTTTCCAACCTCCCCAGAGCCAGTCTCCCCAGGCCTATTTTGGTGTCCCTGCATTTCCTTCAGACCTCCCTGCCTCTTCCTCTCATCTCCCAAGAAAAGATTGAGAGTGAAACATCTTACTGATGTCTGAGTGATAGATGACAAAAGTATTTCAGGCTATAAAGCGAGAAACTAGGTTTGGACCATGCTAGCAATATGTCTTCCCACACACACACACACCCGCCCCCAGTTTTTTGTTTTTGTTTTTGTTTTTTCTCCCAGGGTCTTGCTATGTAGCCCAGGCTGGCCTCAAATTTGTGATCCTCCTGCCTCTGACTCATCTGTCCCCATTCTATTTCCCCTGATCCTAAACTTGCATAGTGAGGGCTTTCTGTCCTTCATGATCAAGTGAGGGAAGAGTTTGACCAAGGACATGACAGGTTGTTTATACTGAGAAAGCAAGTTCCTGCTCCTACCACCCTACGTCCCTTTGATCACTTTCTCCTACTCCTTATTGTCCCTCAAGGATAGAAATAGCTGGGCAGGAAGGGAAGGGAAACACATCTTCTTCCCCAAGAAATGGTGTCACCCAGATCTGAGGGAGGCTACTCGAAAACATGGATAGAGGCCTGGACCAGGAATTCAAAGGTCTGAGTGTGAGTGCAGTCCTGTCCCCAGCTGGCTTGGGAACCTTGGGCAGGTCACGGTTCTGCTTCAGAGTCAGTTTCCTTATCTGTAAAACCAATGGGTTGGAACAAATGGTCTGAGAAGGTCAAACTCAGCCTATGAAACCAACCCACCCTGCCATCTACAGCAGTTAAGACTTTCCCACACAACCCAAATAGAAGTCAGAAAATGGAAATGAACTTGACCTTTACCTTCGAGCAAGATCCTGGTTCTTGCATCTCTTCTCTGTTACAGTTCCCTCTACTCACCATGGTAGGGTCTTTCTTTTGGGGATTCTGTTGTCATTCTGTTTGCCTTAGCCTTTGGTGGTCCTCCTATGGTGTAAAGGTCAAAGCACCAGCTGTGGATTTAATGTCCTCATCCCCACAGGGTGGCAGTGAGGGTCAAAAGAATGGATGTAATGCTGTTAGCATAGAAGCATAGCAGTAGATGTGGGCAGCAAGGTTTACTCACTAGTGGAATGTGATTTGGGATTCTGGAGAAGGTAGAAGCAATTCCCTGAAAAGTATGAACATTTAAACAACAGGTTAGCCCAGAGCACACCCCAAATCTACGCAGCTTCTCTTCTTTTCCACCTCTTCTGCATCAGTGCCAACCTCATTCTCCACAGCAAAGCACTAACTCCATTTCATGTGTTGCTACACGTTTGACCCAAGGAGAGCCCTTCTGAAAATAACACTCTGTAGCCAAGAAATTGAAGGCATCAGAATTCACGGTCTGGGCGTGGTATGGCCCAGTGGTGTTGCAGTGGCAGGAAGCCCCTCCTTCCACCAGCTCACTGCCTTGCCTGAAGCTGTTTGATTTGGATGTTGCTTGGCTGAGCAAGGGGCCTGACTGCTTCATAAAACGGTTTCCCATGTCTGGAGCCCAGGGCTCCTGAGCTGGGGGTGACGCTGCCTTGTTTGTACTGGAGCTGGCTGGTTGGGGAGAGGTGAGCTGAGGCTAGGTGTCTGTTCTGCTAAGGAAAACAGGACTTGTCTCCTGCCCAGATCTTTGGTTTCTCCCCAATCCCAGCCATGGTTGCCAACAGTACAGACCCAGACTCGTGATATCTGAGCAGTGGTAAGAAGGATTCCTGCACATGCACTCACACTTAAACTCTTTCACACATGCACTCTTTCTCTGTTTTCAAAGCCGCTGACAGCACTATCCCAGACCTTCCTTGCTCTCTGTGCTCAAAGGAAGCAGCTGCTGGTTACAACCCAAATTTGGAAGAAATTTGATAAGCAGCCCTATCGGGGAGCTCCTCGCAGGCACTTACTCCCCTAAATGAACTTTCTGTGGCTTCTGGACTCACAAAACTGCATTCTCACACCTTCCTTTGGGAGGAGTGCTGGATGGGAACCTTCCCTCTTGCACAGAGTTCTATGGCCTGGGGTGGTTCTGTTTGTTTTCCTGTTGGGGTGTGGCTTCTGGAATTGCTAAAACAGTTTGAACTTAATAATACCTTGGATTTACAAGTGCATCTTTTTTTTTTTCTGTAGAACACAAAACTTAATGGGTTTTGCTTGAAGTCTTTGGCTGGAGGTAGGGACCTGAGGTCAAGGGTTTCCACAGCTTCTGTGGTCCTGAAGCTGCATTTGTGTTCTGGATTCTTCCCTCACCTTGTTGGGTCAGTGGACCTTTAAC